CATCCATGTAAAATAGCAATTAACAACATGTTTAGGGGCGCCTGAGTGGCTCAGTTAAGTGTCCGACTTTGGCTTAGGTCATGATCTTGCAGTTCATGGGTTTGAGCCCCAAATTGGGCTCTGTGCTGACAGCAGAGAGCCCGCTTCAGATCCTCTGTCCCCCTCTCTCTGCCCCATCCCTTCTCTCTCTCTCTCTCTCAAAAATAGATAAACATTTAAAACAACAACAACAATGTCTAGTTTGTGCCATTTCACAAAGAAAACTCTAGGCTCACATGCCTTCCTGCTGAATTCTACCAAGTGTATAAAGAAGAACGATTAGTAACTTACACAAATTCTGCCAGAGACTTGAAAAGGAGGTAATATTTCCCAGCTTACACTGATACCAAACCCAGACAGAGTGCTTAACAACAAAATAAAACTACCAGCCAACATTCTTCATGGCTAAAGTAACACCAAGGACACAATGCTGGTTTAACATTAGAAAGTCAAAGAACAGAGTCTTTGACTCTGTTTTTTGACTAAAAGAACATATGATCATCTCAATAGCTGCAGAAAAATCATTGACAAAATTAATATTCATTTTTCATTAAAAAAAAGCAAACAAAATTCTCAGTAAACTAGAAACAGAAGGGAACCTTCCCAACCTGATAAAAGATGAAAACCCTATAGACAATATCATACTTTTGGTGAGACCGAGTTCCCCTTAAGATCAGGGACAAGGCAAGAATGTCTGCTTTCAACATCTCTTTTTATTTTTATGAAAAAAATTTGTTTCGGGGGGCGCCTGGGTGGCTCAGTCGGTCAAGCGTCCGACTTCGGCTCAGGTCATGATCTCGCGGTTCGTGGGTTCGAGCCCTGCATCAAGCTCTGCACTGACATTGCAGAGCCTGCTTAGGTTTCTCTCTCTCCCCCTCTCTCTCTCTCTCAAAATAAATAAATAAATAAACTTCATAAAAAAGGGATAAACCCATGTGATCCATTCAAGAGGAGTAGACCTCCTGCTCTGGTGCTAGGCTCGGGGGCCTCACGCTCAGATCGAGCCCCATGATGCCTCCCCCTGCTGTAGCGCTGGGTACCTGTCACTTCTGCAAAGTGCTGCATGTGGAGAGCACGTGTCTCCTGCTCTGGAGGTGCCTGAAAGCTCATCATGACCCCTTCTACCTTCTCTGCTTCTGTTTTCTCTTAGCCTATGAGCCACCGCCTCCTGGAGGAACTTAGAAAAATCTCTCCTGGGGTGCCTTGGCCGGCTCAGTCACTGGAGCCTGCGACTCTTGATCTCGGGGTTGTGAGTTCGAGCTCCAGGTTGGGTGTTGAGATTATGTAAAAATAAAAATCTTTTTAAAAAAAGAATTAAGTGGGACATGACAAGCAGGCTATAAAGTTGTATATCCAAAAGAGTCTGTAAGAGAACAACAGCAAATGATGTGGAGAAAAAAAAACAAAACTGGAAGGAAATCCAACAAAATGCAGCAATGATGGTCTCCGGCAGTAATGAATCTGGGCGACCTGTTTTTTTCTCCTCCCCTTCTGTCTTCCTAACTTATCTATACTGAGCAATCCCTCATTTCATTTTTTAAAGAAAGTGGAAAAAGAAAATATAGCAGTTCTGGTATTCTACCCCCACCCCTGTCCCCTCCCCAGGGATCCAGACCCAGGGTCACGTTCAGGTTCCTCTAAGGTTCCTGTCCAGTCCTCTCCTTCCTGCCTTTCAGAAGCCCACCTGCACCCTGTGGTTTCCTACCTCCACCCGCCCTCCCCCCC